GTTAAAAGGAATCCCTGTAGTATCAACAAAAGCATTTTTCCTAAATCCAGTTTACATGTATCAATATATCTATGTTCATTTACTTTTTGGACCTCTTGGACTGTCTGTCAACCCAATGGAAAGAAAGATGAGACTTTCTGCTCCTGAGAAGACTTAATGCCTATACAGGGGGGCTATAAAGTCAGTCGGAACTGACTCAATGGCATTTAACAACAACAACAATTGGAGTTCTGGTGTGGCTCTGTAGGATAAGCATTGGACGGCTAACCACAAGGTTGGCAATTCAAACTCACCAGCTGCTCCTAGAAAATCCTATACAGGGTCACTGCAAGTCGGAACTGACTCAACAGCACTCAACAACAACAATGCACTCTGGTCCGAGTTGCCATTGCTCTCAGTGGCCATGACGCTTCACATCCTGTGGGTCAAGTACTCGCATTACAAGCACGTGCTGTTTTCTTTGCTGCCGCTCTTTTCATAATTGCTGAGTTTGCCAAATTTCCAAGGGTTTTAGCTATAATATTGTGGTAATTGGTACTTGTGAACCTATATTAATATATTTTTTGAGAATAAAATAGTAATTAAAGGAAAAGGAGAAAAAATTGTAAAGGTTTTCTGCTCAGATACTAATAATGTAGAAAGATTTTACAAAACAATTTTGTTGTTAGTATTAATATGTTCTAAGAAGTATTACATTTAAGCAATTTATTACTGTATTTATCATATACTATTCTATGCTTAAAATTTATAAATAACACTCTAAGGATTCTGTAAGGAGAGCACAGTAGGACTGGACTGCTAACCACCAGGTCAGTGGTTTGAGCCCACCAGTCGCTTCATGGAAGAAAGAGGAGACTTTCTGCTCCCATATTTATAAACTTCGTCTCTCATACTTCAGACATATTGTCAGGAGGGACTAGTCGCTGGAGAAGGATATCATGTTTGATAAGGTGGAGAGTCAGAGGAAAACCTGTAACAAGATGGATTGGCCAAGTGGCAGCATCAATGGACTCAAGCGTGGCAACAGTAGTGAGGTTGGCTCAGGATCAGGCAGTGTTTCGTTCTGCTGTGCATAAAATAAGGTCACTATAAGTCGGTACTAACTCGATGGCACCTGACAACAACAACAAAGATTTATAGCATATACAGGGTTGCTATGAGTCAGAACATACTGGAAGGCACTTGACAACAGTAAGGATTCTGTATGGTCTGGTACTGGAAGATTTGTTGCTGCTAAGTGTCGTCGTTGAGTCAGTTCTGAACCATAGCGACCTTATATAGGGTTTCTGAGGCTTTAAGTCTTAACGCAGGAGCATAAATGCTCATCCCGCAAAGTGCCTGGTGGTCTTGAACCTCAGACCTTGAGGTTCACAATTCAATGCTTATCATATGGACCCATAAGGATGTTAACACCTTGAGTTACTGTCCTAACAACACCACTGCAGTGGGGGAGTCCCTGGGCACTAATGGTAGATACCTTTGGTTTGGTCATGCAGGAAGTGCTGGCTGAGCTGCCATGGGCCCTGCATCCCCCCTGGCACACTAGGTTAGCAGAATGAAGAGGAGTCGCAGTGTCCTGTCGGTGGCCTGGACAGGGGATGAGGTTTGAGGGGTCTGGTGGGTGGGGCCCCATAAGGAGTGTGGATGGGGTTTTAAGGAAGAGGGGTGTCTTCTGGTGATCCCAATTGTTCCCTGAGCATGGTGTCACTGCCTTGAAGAGACGGGCCGTCTTGTCCCCTTGTGCCTCAGTTGACATCCTTGATTCCATTCCCCTGCTGACAGGATTATGAGGTCTCAGGCCAACAGCAGAGGGGCACTGGGTGTGTGGGTCTCATATGGGAGGGAGCTTCCTGGAGAATGGGAAAAGACCCTAAGCAGTGACGCACTAGAGGGGCTTCAGACATGATGCAGAACTCCAGCCTTGGAACAGCAAGAGGGAGTCCCACAAAAATTATGGGTGTCAAGGGTCCCTCAGAGGTAAGGAGTGGTAGGAGGGGTTAGTGAGTGGCTCAGAGGTGAAGGGGGCACAGAATTCCTATCCTTCCATCAGCCAAGTCCTCAGATGGCTGGGTGGAGACCCTCCTGGGACTTGGGGCTCAGAGCTGTCTGGCCAGACTGCACCCCCATCCCATCCTTGTTCCTCCTCAGAGGCTGCGGGAGACCCCCGAGCCCAGCCACTTGAACATGCTGGGGGCCGACCTCCGCCGCCCCCGCCGCCGCCTCTCATCAGGTCCTGGCCTTGGCTGGGTCCAGACTGAGCCCTCAGACCCCGGGGTCTCTCTTCCTCCACGGCCCACTACGCTGCCGCTGCTGATCCCACCGCGGATATCCATCACCAGGGCAGAGATCGACAGGTAGGCACGAGGGAACCAGACTGGGATGTGGGGAAAGGGAGGAAGAACAGGGCCAGCTGAGCTTGGCCCAGCCACCAGCCCTTCCGGAGCTCCAGGCTCCCTTGGATTTTGCAAAACCAGCTGAAACTTTTCTCGAAACCTGGAAACCTGACCTTAGGCCAGTGGCTCCCCTCCCCCAAGGCGCCTCTTACAGCCACTAGGAACCTCTTCTTCCATTTGGCAGCTGCCTGCATCAGCAAGAGAAAGGATTGAAGAGGGTTCAGACTTCCTACCCCCAGCAATGTTCCCACGTTCACAGAGTGGGCACAAGCTGGGCTTCTGACCAGCAGCCTTTGGATGGAGGGGGGTCGGTTTTCCCCACATTCTAAAAAGATAGTGGGACCCTAGAGGTCTGGAGGTTTACTTGTTTCTCTGTGAGCCCAGCTTCGGCCTATTCGTTCTTGCTTTTTCTCATCTGGGGTCCTTCAAGGACACCCCCACCTTCCTCTTGGTCCAAGGATGAGTCTTAATTGCTGGCCTGCCTGTCCCTATGGCCGCTGTTCGCTGCAACCTCAGAGACCAGTTTATTACTCAGGGTCTCTGCTTTGCCCTGGTACATGGGATCATTTCCAGATGGGGGAAGTGAAGGTTATCCTGCACCTCCATACCCCAACCCAAGGTTCTAGCTTTTACTTCCTTCATACCCCACCTGATCATCCCAGCCACAGGACGCAGCTTCCCACCTTCTCTCTGTTCTGCAGACCCAGCAGGGACTGACTCCTCCACGCCCCCACTTCCAGGACGTTCCCATCTTCCTTCCTGAGGTCTGGTCCACGCTATAATCCCCCTTTCCAAGAATCTGACTCAGTCCAGGACCCTCAAATGATCTGGTAGTGCGGGGGTGGTGGTGGTGAGGGGGGTTCCTCAGCCTTTACAAATTCTCTCAGAGTATTGGGGGAGTTACTTGAAGGAGTCCCCACGAGAAGTGGGGAGACACAATTTTGGCCTCTGCAACACCCAGTGGCTGCTGATGGGAAGGTTGGTTTTTGCTCCGTGTGCGCCCACGCCCGCAGCCCCCTCCAGCGGGGACAAAAGTGGCTGTGGGGGTTGGAGACAAGGCAATTTTTTTAAATAAGGAGAACAGCACAGTGGGGTGGGGGAAGAGGGGCAGTGTCAGACATCCTGGCCTATCCCCGGAAGCCCATGGGGGGGGCGCACAGACATGGTTGCCAGGCTAGCACCCCCAGCAGGTTCGCGTCGAAATCCGATCGGCCATGGAGACCCGGCACCAGCGTGCGCGCTTCCCCATCCCCCCGCCCCCCAGCCGCCAGCGGGGTTCAGTCAGGTCTGGAGGGGGGGCGGGGAGGAGGTGCTCGGATCCCGTTTGCTCGCTGCTCTCGAGCTCAGCGCGGCGCTGGGGGAGGCGGGAGCGTGAGTCACGGCAACTCCCGATTTAGGTGCCGGAAGGGGGGCTCTGCCGGCGGGGGCCTTTGGGAGGAGGCGCGGCTGTTTACTAAAAAGGGCAGAAGAGTGCGACCCGCGCCTGCTGGGGACCTGCCTCAGTTTATCTCTTACAGTACTTTAAAAGAGCGATGGGTGGGCAGCGAGAGTAGTGGTCAGTGTCCTCCCAAAGCCAAGCCACCGGAACCAAAGGAACACACCCCAGAAACACCCAAGGTAGACCCAGGCCAACCACTTCCACATACACCCCAATACAAATAGATACACACAGTCAGACGACTGAGGCTGAGTAGCGTGCGTGCATGTATCGCCTACTGCAAATATACAGAACCACAAAGCACTCTAAACGCGTGGGAACACACACAGAGCCCCGAGGCCACTGAAACTGACCCCAGAGAAGCGAACACCCTTCAAATAGGCAGCACATGTGCGCACAGGTCCTTCATCCACAGACACACACATAGAAACAACGCAAAATCCAGAGAAACTGGCAGCCCGCACCAGCCAAAACCACGTGCACACACACACTGCTAGCCGACACAGACAACCCTCAGAGAGGGCCACGTGCATGCACACCGCACCCGACACACACCATTGCCATTCCTCGGACCCATCGTCAAGAGGTTATTTTTGTATTGCTGGTGGCCGCAGGCACCGTGCTGGTGGCACCAGGACCCACTCTCCACAAGCCTCCCCCGGCCAGGGGTAGCAGCGAGGACACACCAAAGTCTGGGCTCCGCCCCCCCCTTGTTATGATGGACGGACTGACTGACACACCAACAACCAGTCGCAAGTCTTCCTTCCAATCGGATTAACCGCTTAACTCCTTGGTGCCCGAATGCGCTGCAGCGAGGCAAGAAGCTCTGAACAGAGCGGAGTTCCGGCGCCCCCTCCCAGCTGGGAACAGGGCTCTGCGTGGGAGGGGAGGGCCCCCCTCCTTGGGTGACTGCCCCCCACTGGCCCGGACCGTGGAGGAGGGGGGCGGTGCTGACAGCCAGGGAGGGCGGGGGGGCGGGGAGGGGCGGGACAGGGCGGGTGGGGGGAGCTGTGGTTGGCGCCGAGCCGGGCACCGAGCGCTGAGAGCGCAGCCCGGCACAGAGCAGAGCGTCGGGTGCTGACAGGAAGACGCGGCGCCCGGCCCGGGGGCAATCGGCCCGCAGCGCCCCCGGGTCTGTCCCCAGGGCGCCATGGCCCCACAGAGGCCGGGCGCACCCGCGGGACCCTGGACGCGACAGCTCGTGAGTCTCTGAGCGGGGTGCAGCTTGAAGAGGCCAAGGTCCCCCCCGGGGCAGAGGCGGGGGCCGGCGTCATGGAGCCCCCGGCCGCCCCCTCGGAGAGGAGCCTGTCTCTGTCCCTGCCTGGGCCTCGGGAGGGCCAGGCTACCCTGAAGCCGCCCCCCCAGCACCTGTGGCGGCAGCCTCGGACCCCTATCCGTATCCAGCAGCGCGGCTATTCCGACAGCGCAGAGCGCGCGGAGCCTGAACGGTCGCCGCACCGGCCCATAGAGCGTTCCGACGCCGTGGACACCAGCGACAGGCCCGGCCTGCGCACGTCCCGCATGTCCTGGCCCTCGTCCTTCCATGGCACCGGCAGCGGCGGCGCAGGCGGAGGCAGCTGCAGGCGGTAAGACCCTGGGGCTGACACACGCGGAGCGGATAAGCGCGCAGAAAGGACGCATCTCGCCCCGCCGACCGCCGGGGGGCACTGTGACAGGGTGGGGTCGTTGTGCCTGGTGCGCGAGTGTGTGTGTGTTGGGGGGGGGGAGTCACTCTATTGCGGGGGCAACCCACACCGGGTCCCCGGTGATGCACTGTACTAATGACTTCTGATGAATTCCGTCCAGGGTGAACTTGAAGGCTTCATGTTACATGTGATATCAACAGGGTCTGGGTTGGGGGAGAAGGCCAGAGTTTTAGGGGTCTAGATCCTTAGTTGGTGACAGTGCCAGGTGGTGGATAGGCAAGATAATGCTTGGAGGTGTTGAGGACCTCAAGTACTGAGATGCTGAGGACCGGTGTCATGGACGAAAATGGAGGGATCTTTCCAGGAGCAGTTAATGAAAGCTAGAGTCATTGTGTTTGGGGGTGTCCTGGGGACACTTACAGGACACCTACTAGGATCCTAATCTTTTCTCCAGGCTGGGTGGAGGGCTCTCCGGATCCTTCTAGGGAGTGGGGAGCATTCATAGACTCACCCTGCAGCACTTAGAATCAGATACCCACTGGGGGGTGGCTTGATCATCGGACCCTGTGTTGGGACTTGTGGCTCTGTGGACAAGAGCGGCCCAGTTGTAGAGAACAGTGCGGAGGGGTATGTGGTGAAGGAGTCCCTGCCTCCTCAGGGAGACAGTACAGTGGGGAGGGAGGGTGTTGGGTGGGTCATGCTGTGTATTCTCTGACCCACCTGAGTTCTGCACCTTCCACTCCCCTCCCCCTCAACTGACTGGGTGTGATGACTAGCTTGTAGCAGACTTGATTTGGGTGCCCTGCCTGAGTTTCTGGAGTGCAGTGATTTTGACGTGACACTGATTGTAACTGTGAATGTGTGCTCTAGGGACACCATGATTGTGACAAGGTGACTGCTTGTATTCCAGGGACCGTGAGTGTGCCCCAGGGACCCTGTGATTGTGACATTGTGTGTGTGTGTTTTGCTGCTGAAACAGTAGCTGTGATAGTGTGTAGTCCTTGGATTCAGTGATTGTGACACTGTGGTGTGTTCACTCCCGGGGACAGAGTGAAATTGTGTTGGCCGTGGGACTGTCTGTGCTCTGGGACACTGTGACCATGTTCTCAGGTCCCTGTGCGCCCTGGGTCTGGGGTCTGTTTTCTGACATAAAGGGTATCCTCATTGCTGTTCTGTGGTGCTGACTGACAGATGGGTGGGCTCTCTGACCTTCAACTGCCTGCTGCCCCTAATCTCTGTGTCTGTTCCCATGGTGCTCTGGGGCCTGACTGCTCTGGTGGTGCGTGACGACAGCTTTGAGTGTTTGTCTGACACCCATGGTACCCCCTTTCTTGAGACAATACTAAGGACAGTCAGATGGGAGGCCTCTTACCCCTGGAATTCCTGAATGTGGCCCTTACTATTCCTTGGTCTTTTTAGGGTTCCTCCAGTAGCCACCATAGCCCCCTCTGAGCCATTCCACTTTCATTCTGGGTACTCCCAGACCTGGGACCCCTACCCTCCATCCACCCCCCACTCCCCAACCCCCACTTGAAGAAAGTGTCATGGGTCTAGCACGCACAACCTGATATTTCCCAAGGGAAGCACCAGAGAAGCTGAAGGAAGGAAAACAAAGCTGGAATCAACAGGAAATGCCAAGACTGGGGGCAGCAGGCCAAACTGACGCATGCTGCAGGTCACTGTCCTGACGAAGGTGGGGGTGGGGTGCAGTCAAAACCGCCCCACTCATTTTTTAAGACCCTGGGAAGTCCCTTCTTCCTGGCCTCCTGAGAGGCTAGTCCTATGGGGACAGTGACTGAGTGGCCAGCATCATCACCGTCATCATCATCATCATTTTGGTGGGATGCATCTCTTGATGGTTCGCTCTGGGGTTCCATGTCAGGGGCTTTTCCACAGGTCCTCGTCCCAGTGCTTGGGGAGGTGTCCCTATGGGACATGTGGGGAACCTGAGACCCAGAGAGGTGAAGTTCCTTCTATTACAGTCCAATTCATACAACCAGGAAATGGTCACCAAGAGGCCTGGACGTCCTTGTGTAAGTAAGTGGCTTAGCCTCTCTGAGACTCAGTTTTCTATCTGTCAAGTGGGGCTATTGTTGGTAGTGCTCTTTGTCATCAGGGATGTATGTAAAGGGCTTCACACTGAAGACAGTTGGTCTCAGGGGATAGGATATGGGGTCTGGGTGCACCCTACTCCTCTCTAGTAGGGAGAAGATACAGGAATTTGAGCTGCTGGCAGCTCAGGCAGGCAGGCAGGCCAGGGCTCAGGTTTCTGGATCGCTTTGAGCCTGTGAAGCTTTAGTCACTGCCCACAGCTGGGCTGGGGTGAGGGGAGGGCTGTGGCCTGAGGAGAGGACATTGGTGCCAGTGTCTTCCCCCAGGCAGAAGAGGAAGGTGGAACTGAGAACCTTCACTGGGAACTCCCCCTCCATAAAACAGGCGTTAGTTGGGCCAGGCCACTTCTTCCTGGAGCTGGTTCCGGTAGTGTACATATAGAGGGGGGCTCCCAGTGCTCCCCAAATTGGAGTTCACTTAGTCTCCAGAAGGGGTGTCCAGAAAGCCCCCCAGACTTGAGTCACCGGAGATGGCTTCCAGGCACCTCCTGTGATCCTATTGATGGGGGAGCTGAGTCATGGCTCTGCTAGCTCTGTCAAGAGGCAGATAAAGTGTGACGAAGAAAAAGACGCTTGGTAGTGGGATAGTGGCTACTTGCTTTGGAGACAGGGTATATAACCTCGGAGCTGGGTTCCCTAAACTCTTCCCACTGAAGGGAACATTGTGAAAAATGTTGCAGGCACACAGAAAAGGGTGGAGGCAGCTGGGTTAGAGTCTGTCTCTGTGGCCCATGGTTACTGTTTTTACTTTCTTCACCTCTCCGGGTCGCAGACGGTCCCCTATCTGTGGCTCTGTAGTCGGAGCTGGTTGCTCCCCGCTCCCTCCCTCACTGCGCTCTCTGCTGGACGACTGCAGAGGCGCAGCCTGGGTGTGCGCTCGCTCGCTCTGAGGCCAGACCTGACTTGCCTTCGGGACGCTGGTCTCCAAGCGAAGAGAAGTCTCCACTGCAGCGCCCCATATTATTATTTCATGGTTATTGAGCGTCCTGAATAGCGGGCGCCAGGTCGGCCGACCACAGGCTCCGGATAGAGTCCACACCCTCCCCAAGTTGGGAATAGTTCTCTGCCCCCATCCTCCTCCATCCACGCGTGGAGGTGAGAGAAACTTGACTTGAGTTGTAGAGTTGCTGTCTCGCCAGCGTGCCCTTGCTTATACCCATACCCATGCCCAGGCCTTCCACCATTAACGTGACATTTAACGCTCAGCATCTAAGGGCCCTCCCTATATAGTACAAATAGTTTGGTTTGATTTGTAACTCGGTTAGAACCCACCTAGTGGTATTGCAGAAAAACAAGCCTGGTTACCTATTTCCATTAAGATAATTGGGAACAGTTCTATGTCACACATAGGGTCATCAAGAGTCAGAACTAACTTGAAGGTAGCTAACAACATCACCTTTGGCTCTCCATTCCTGCCAAAGAAACAGAGATGCAATGACCTGTCCAATGTCACACATCTAAGAAGAGCAGAATTGAGGTTTAAAACTAGGCTAGTGGGTAAGATTTAAATTGTGGCCCTGCCTGCCACCTTTCCTGAAGTTTCAGTTTCCCCATCAGTAGAACAGAGCTCAAAAAATACAAGACTGCCCATCCCCATGGTTGTGGTAAGGCTGAGATGGCTGGGTTGGGGCTGGGCAGCCAGAGCTGGTGATTTGAGGGTACACTTCCGCAAGTGAAATCAGCAGAGAGAAAGGGGGCGTCTCCCAAACTGTAAATCCAAGCTGGGTGGCTGCCAGGGATCAGCAATAACAGAACAACTGACCGCAAGCTTTTCTGAGCTGCAGGAAAACTGGGGCTTTAAGCAGACTGATAGGGTGAGAGCAGAGTTTTAGGGAATAGCCGAGCCTACTGTTTTCCCTGTTGTTGTTAGGTGCCATCGGGTTGGTACTGACTCATAGCAACCCTATGCACAACAGAATGAAACACTGCCCGCTCCAAGGCCAACCTCACAATTGTTGCCATACTTGAGCCCATTGATGCTGCCATATTGCCAATCTTATCTCGCTGGGGGTTTTCACTCTTAGCAGTTTAAATTCAGTCATTGTTCTTTGCTTGTGGGGAGCCCCTCAGGTATGCGCTCTGGTGGCTGAATGTCAGTATCTTCATTTGTAACCTAGTCATCATTCATTTCACAAATATTGACTGGGCATCTTTGGGGCTACAGAGCAAAATGACATTTCTGCCTAGTGGATGAGGCAGAAATAATAAAGTAAAGGCGTATGACACTTCTGGAGGGTGATGTGGGATTTGAAGAAAATAAATGGATCTGGTTTCAGAGCAGGCCTGAGGACAGGAGGTGTGTGTATCAGAGGGAAGACGGTGCCAGGCAGAGGGAACAACCCGTGCCACAGTCCTGAGATGGAAGCGTGCAAAAGTCCTGAGATGGGAACGTGCGTGTCTGATATGTTGGAAGAAGAACAGGGATGAATGAGGGGTGAGTGAAAGGAAATAAAGCAGGGAGGTAAAGGGCAGGTCTCATAGGCCATGGTCAAGGCTTGGTTTGCAGTGGAAGGGAGAAATAATGTTCTCTGGGCAGGAAAAAGACTGATCCCGTGAAGGGTCTGTGACTTCTAGTGGCAGAAATTCCAGTCTCTGCTATCAGGTGCTTGTTGGGTTCATAATACAGTTCTGGTCTTTTGGGCTAGGTAACCCTTCTCTTGGCCTCAGCTTCCCCATCTCTTGAAAAAGGTCTAGTAAGAATCACAGTGACCTGAGAATTCAGGAAAACAATGCAAAGAGGCCTGAGGGTGTGGTCCAGACTCAGAAAGGATGGTCAGCAACAGCAAATGACCTTCCTTTGGGTTTGTAACTGGGCCACGGTTGGCAGTG